TTCTCCTAGGCCCAGCTTCTATTGCCACGTGATGATCTATTCCATATCTGATTGGTTCTATTGAGTGTCTATGATCACGCCACGTTCACGCACGAATCTAATTGGCTCATTTGATTTCCCTCGCATACGACGTCCGCTACAAATCCGTCCGGTTTCCCGTCGCTCTTAACGATTTTTTGTCATTTTGTCGCGGCGCTGGAGGTGTAAGGATACTGCGGCACCTGGAAATCGTGATTTTATACCCACTATAACTCCGTTAGTATCAATTTGCGCAGAAAATGGTACAGAAGAGAACGAACATAGAATAATGTATTCTACCACAAGGTAAACTCAGATTTTTAAAATTAGGTATAGGGTTGCATTTCCAATAATACCATAATAATGCTTTAGCTTAGGATTCGGATGTAACTGCGGCATGTCAGAATGGGGCTATAAGGGGGACCATAAAAAATCGATCCTATTTGGTTGGGCTAAAAGACTCAAAAGATTGGTAGAGGTGAGTAGTAGAAGGACGGGTACTTGTGAAAGAGAGGGGGGGGGTGGAGTAGGACTGCGGACAGTAGGCATTGAAGAGGGAATGGTAGTAGTTCAGTGTCGTGGTCAAAGAAGAGCCTGAGGCCAGGTACCGGGGGAAATCAAATCAGTAAAGCCTGACTGTCCTAATAAAGATTTTAAAAATCTCCATTACAGGCCATGGTAAGCTTGGAGTATGTCGGGAGAGAAATGGTCACCTCTCAGGGTCCATTGAGGGGTTAGGACTAGACAACTAAACAAAAACGTGCCCATGGCTCCCTTAGGCCGTTCATGACTAGCATAAAGTCAGCCTTTCATCCTTTCAACATTGCTCTCACTTCTTAGGAAGCGGATAGTTGAAGGGGTTGGAGAAGAGAAGAAGAAAGGGAGATGGGAAGACAAGAAGACCGTGCAAATTTTGTTGAATCGAGCACTGAGGCCCAAGGTACGATGGTTAATGGTTAATGGTTAAGATAAATGTGCTAGACATCTAAGGTCATATAGCACTATAGGAAAGTATAGTAAAGGGATGTCAGGTGACAGTTATGTGTCAACTATCTAGAATAGTGTTGAGAGGTTTGAGGGAAAATTATGGTGGTTTAGGTAAGGGAGTTAGATCAAGTGAAGGATATTTATGTGTCTGAGGAAGGAGAACAGGTTGTCGAGGCAGAAGCTGTGAGATTCTGTAAGGATGTCTGATATGTTGGGAGGTCGGTGAAGGGAGGATAGGTGTGGAAAAGCAGAGGTACGTGCTGTATTAAAGTGGACAGGACAAGAGAATGTGTGGGACTGAAAGAGGGATGTTACATAGAGGACATAGGGGCGGGTCTGAGCGTGACATCAGATAGGCATGTGTTAGGCGAGTGTGGCCAATACGTAATCGTGCGAGGGCAGTCTCCCAACGTCTGTTTTTGTGAAATGGAGCTGACCAAGAGGAGATTGATGGTTTTACGGTATGTAATTTATTGTTGTGGAGTCTTGACCAAAAAGATTGCCATCGGGTATACAAGAAAGTCTTAAAGTGGGGGTAGTAATCTGTAGCTGGAATATGTGAGAAGCGTTGTTGAGGTGATGTGGACATTGCGGCATATCGTGCAAGAGTATCTGCCTGTTCATTGCCAGGGATTCCAACATGGCTGGGTACCCAGCAAAATCTGACAGATTTGTGACGTGTGGATAGATAGAACAACCAGTTCTGGATCTTACAGACAAGGGGATTGGTCGAGTGCATTGACTTTATGAGGGTTAAAGAATTACGGGAGTCAGTAAAAATAGTAAAAGAGGAAGAGGTGGATGAATATATGCGTCTTAAGGCAAAAAGGAGTGCATATAGTTCTGTAGTAAGGACACTAGATTCAGGAGGGAGGGTGTATTTGAAAGTGCAATTTGGGAATGTTACTGCGAATCCAGCTCCTGAGATGGATTTGGAACCGTCAGTGTAAACATGAATGCTGGAGGAATGAATGGAGACATGGTCAAGGAAATGAGCGAGAAGGATAGAGGGGGGAATATCTGATTTTGGTGGGTCAGGGAAAACTGAGGAGCAAATACAGGGGTTAGGTATAAGCCATGGAGGAATGGAATGGACAGACAGTGGGAGAGGTCGGAGATGAGGGAAGGGGGAATGGGAGAGGAGGGTATCCATGCGTACGGGGAGAGGAGTTGGTAAACGTGGAGAAGAGGTAAAGGTATGAAGTAAGGATTGTGGAATAGTTAGTTTGGTAAGGGAAAATTGGTGAAATCGAGCATAGCATCGGAGAGAGAGAAGGGCTCGACGTCGAGAGAGGGACGGCATGCCTGATTCAGTATATAGGCTCTCAACTGGAGAGGAGCGGAAGGCGCCTAGGGCTAAGCGGAGACCGCTGTGGTGGACTGTATCAAGGTGAGCAAGAAGAGAGGTTGAGGCAGAGGAGTAGATATGGCATCCATAATCTAGAGTGGAGAGAATCAAAGTAACATGAAGATGGAGGAGAGTTTTGCGATCTGAGCCCCAGGAGATATGTGAAAGCGTTTGTAAGATTCGGAGGCGACGTTGAGCTTTTTCTTTGATATACAAGATATGGTCTCGCCAGGACAATTTGGAATCAAATATAACGCCTAGGAATTTGCCAGAAGACCGGTATTGGAGTGGAGCATTATATAAGAAGAGTGGGGGTTTGGGGACCGTACGTACGTAAGCGAGAGAAAAGGATGGGGAAAGATTTAGAGGTAGAGAAGCGAAAGCCATGGTTGGTGGCCCAAGAAGTTACTGATGTTATTGCAGACTGAAGGAATTGACAGAGATCTGGTACGAGTGATCCCTTGACATTGAGCCTCAATCTTTGTCTCCCAAGCCTCCCCCAACCCCCTCTACGGCAACAACAGGCATGGGATTGTAAGGGATTATGCTTTGTCTCGAATGCATCCTTTTATACGACATTCTTCGCGTTATATAGTCTCTTTCGTCTGTGTTTGATATATTCCAACGTGTCCAGGTTTAAGACGTCAAAGGAGACTCTAGTGATCTGCTGCCCTCGTAGTTCTAGCCTTGCTGACCACAAAAGCCATCTGCTTCTTATTTCACAAGTTAAACAACGTGCCCTGCGCCCCGAGCGAGATGGCAATGACAAAGTGAACGCGGAACACACCAATCTGACCCTCACTGCTCACATGCATTTCCCATGCTTTTATTCTCATGTCTTCATGTATGAATATGACACTTCTATATTCCAAATGTTTCTTTGGAAATGCTTATTCTTAATTACTATTTGTATAACTGCTTTTTATCACTGACGTTTAAGTGATTTATGTTTCATGAAGTCAGCCAGTTTGTCCCCTAACAACAATGTTTTGGGTTGTAAAAACATCCAGTCTATGTGAACCATACACAGTATATCCCTTGTTACTCCACGAAACGGTCATGTGACCCGATGTTTCTAAATTTCAGAACTGTTTAAAACTGTTTATAAAAAAAATATATATATATATATAAGGCGCCAACTGTCCGAAGGATCGTTCAAGACGAGTAATGCTTTGTGATGCAAAGCAAAATAAATGTGCTAGACATCAAATGTCATGTAGCACTTTAGAAATGTGTAATAGTGAGGGGGGGTTAGTTGATTAAATGTGCTACATGTCATCCGTCGTTTAGGGTAATCAATCAAAGATCTCAAAGGAAGGGGTGTGGGATTTTGCAAGGATGTCCATAGGGTAAGGTAGGGATTAGCAAAGGAGAAAGGGTGTTTAAGGGCGATGAGATCAGTTTCAGGAGAAATGTCAAGGAGGAGAAAATCCAGGGAAGGGGCTTGTTGAGACAGTCACATCCTCGGGAAAGCTGAAAGGATAATGAGGAAGGAAGGGGGAATGATTCAGCTGAAACAGGAAGGAATGGGTTGTGTTGGGAGGGAGTGGAAGGGGTATAGAGGGAATAAGAGTAGGAGGAGGATGGACATCAGCAGTTACTTTGAGTGTTGAAGCAGAGATTGGAGGATGGATGGTGTGAGGGCATGTTATCTTGGTTCATGAGAAGATAATATTGAATGTCTTCGAGTTTCTGGAGTGGAGTTGGTTGGGAGGTCTGAAAAACAAATGTTCTCTTATGAGAGGGAGAAGAGGGGAGAGATGTTTAAGGGGTGGAGGGAGAGGTTGATCGAGGAGAGGATAGGGTAGATGGGGTGGAGCGTTTAGCTTGTCTTGTGCGACGAGTTGGGCGAGGAGGAAGAGAGGGAGGTACCTGGGAGGTAGTGATTGGAGTGTCTGGAATAATGGTGGAAATTGGGGTGTTTGAATTGGCAAAAAATTATTATTTTCCATCCATGTAAAATCAGAAAAAATGGAAAGGAACACTTGTAAAATAAAATACTGATACAATAGAAACCAATGTACATTTTGAATACTTTGGACTTCTTGAGTATTTTACAATCTTCTTGGTCTCCATTTCAGTTTCTTTTCTTTCCATGGGTAGCTTGAATTACACTTGTTGGAATCAAGAGCTTAATCATGGACTTGTACTAATTTCTAGGCTTACGCAACGTATTATAAATCAAATTGCTCAGGATGTTAATGATCTTTAGACAATGTATGGTGGTTTTAGATTATTAAATTGGTTTGCATACATCTCTGGCTGTTGTATAGCATAGAATTTCTGCATGCATTATTATGCGTTGTTTGAATTTAGTAAATTCTTTTTGTACCACCTATGGTTATAATTCCTTTCCTTTCCACTTGCAAAAGAAAATCAGTATCCTATTTTTCTTCATTTTCTCTCATTCTCTCCACTGGATTTTATTTTCTTAAAATTTAAAACTCACTGTGTATCTGTATTGGCTTTATGTACAAGAGCACATTAGGTACTTTTTTTTTTTTCTTCTTCTTCTTTTTGGCTCATTTTTCACTACTGAAAATGAAACTACATAGCTACTAGGTATATGTACATATATGTATATATTTCAATAATAGTTTAGCTACAAATCCATAGTGTGTACACAAAAGTATCGGAAACACCAATATCTTCTGAAATTACTTTTATTCAGAAATGGTAGTACAATAGAGGACCTCATCGAGGTGTGAGAATAGGATGAGGCTTTTATACCTAAATATGCTGTTGTGACAGACCTTGATTTACCCCACCTAGTTCAAGAAGACTTCCTTGGGGGGGTTGTTGTTGTAGAGCAATCCAACCTTCACCCTCCCAGTAACAATTTTATGATGTCACTGCGTATATATATTTTTTACCTTTTCTTTCTTATTCTTATTTTTATGATTTATTCCCCTTCTCAGTGAGATTATATACCTGGTAAGAATTTATATTAACCACAAAAATTTAAAGAATGATCTAAAAGTCAAACTTGAACTGGTAATAAGCATCATCAAATACATGTACACGCACATAACCGTCCTCACCACCACTTGCATACCCTTTGCCATTCGGATGAAATGCTATGGAATTGATGGGACCGAAGTGGCCCTTGACACGAGCAAACTCTTCCTCAAACACAAGGTGGAAGAAGCGAGCATCGAACTTGCCAATCCTTGAGGATGTGGTTGTCACATCCATGGCCTCCTGACCACCACCCAAGACCACATGGGGATAGGTGTCCAAGAGCGGAGTGATTGCTGCTGAATTGACGGGTCGGTCTGTCTTGTACATCTTGAGGCACTCTAGTGTGCCCACGTCCCACAGGCGGGCGGTGGTGTCCTTGCTGGCTGTGATGAGCATCAGGCCATCATGGCTGAGCTGCATGTCTTTGATCTGTTTTGTGTGCTCCTGCCCAATTTCAATCTGTAGAATTATATTCAGACATTAGACAAATGTTTGTGGTGTACAACATCAGAAAAGACTAGAAATAATAAAAAATCATCAAAAGCTGTCAGAAAAAAATTATGATCAAACACACAACTATAATAAAACAAAATATCAACCCAATGACAGTATCAAAATATGACTAGTAACCCATAATGTAGGGTTATTGGCACACAATAGCAGTTTCCCAATTTCAGTCTTGCTCAATTGCTATTTCAACCACAATAGCAGACACTAATTTGAAGTTGGAGTTTATAGGCAAATGTTTGGGGGGCGGGAGGGGGGAAATGCAGTTCAGGTGCCCATATCTAAGAATGACACCCAAACAAAAGCCACCACTACTATCAAAGAAAGGCAAGCTTGTTCAAATAACCCAATGGTGAGACCCCAAGGCTGGTGTTGGGTACGTCAAAATGTGACACCATCCATGACTTGGACCAACAGTCATTCACATTCTACAAGAACTCTAACATACAAACTAAAATAAAAGCAACTATGACATGCTAATTAAGATACCTTCTTGCCTGTACGCATGTCCCACTTGATGATGCAGCCATCTTCATGACCAGTGATGACATATTCATCCAGAGGACCCCAAAGGACTGACAAGGCTTTAGCATTGTTGGGAGTAACCTGTGTCTTCATGATTGGAGTAGCTGAAAATCAGGAACTGGTAATTAATCATTTCTGGACTCCAGCTCATTATTGTTACTTCCATATACTTTTAATAGTCAAAGGACAGTAAATGTAAGCAAAAAAAGGAAGTGATATGAGCAATCACAAACAAAAAAAGGTGAAAATTATGAACGCATAACCTCTTACTTGTAAATATCATTTATAGAAATACACAACTCCAAATCTTTAACACTAACATATACAGACAGCAAAAAACATGTCAAGGAATATAAAGAGTTAACCTGCAAAGTCTGACAGCTCACAATGGTAGCTTAAAATATAACAGTCAACCAAGCAGCCGCAATAGTGCAAAGCCTCTCAAAAACTGGCAGGCTATTTTCCTACTTTTTGTTGTTGTTGTTGTTGTCAATGAAAGGCAGGGAGTATGATAAATTCTGGTACTATTTAGCAAAAACCTTCCAGCTACCCACCCCCATTACCCCAACACTTTTGAACACCATTCCCTTGAGCTAATCATCAAAGCTGAACCTGCTTTCACTCCCACCTCTTTTCTTCTTGAGAATCATAGTGCAAATATAAAATGAGAATTCTTGCAATATTTTGCATATGTGAGCTGAGAAATTGTTTATCATAATTCCAATATTCAATTAATTATCAGTAACAAAAGGTACAGTTCATGCCAAATACATATTTTTTCTAATAAATAAAAATGATAGCCATCCTAAATAAGTTCAAAGCAGTCTTAGGAGTATACCCAAGAAACAAAGAAAATTACTTACGATCAACATCCTTTGGATCTCGGACATCGATGATATTCAGTTCCGAGTTATGACCCATCATCTTGTCTGTGGTGTAGGCGATCATGGTACCAGAATAGGAGAAGTTAACGCCTCGGACAGATGTCTTCATCTCTAGGTTGCTCAAGGAGGTACCCGTCTCTATATCCCAGATTCTAGGAAGAAAGGTGAAATTAAAGGATGGAAGAGGAGATAGAAATGACTTTTCTCTGTTATAGGACAAAGTGAAAAGAGATGCAAAACATGTAAAGCGTAACTTACCGCATACTCTGATCAGCTGACCCAGTGACAAATAAAGTTGAGTCCCACTTGACATCGATGGACCACACAGCACCAGAGTGTCCATCGTAGGTGCCCAGTCGCTCTCCATTGATAGAATACCAGCAATTTGGCTTTGGATCTTTGGATGCTGAAAACAGCAAATCTCCTTCACGGTTGAACTTAATTTGTGTTATAGAACGCTCATGGCCTTGAAGCATAATAGGCTTCTGCAAAGGGGGGTGAAAAAAAACATCTTTAGTAATCATCATCAACAGAGGCCTATGCAGATGATTATCTTTGTAAGTTCCTTTTTATTGTAAAAGGAAAATGTTTAAACATCTGCAATGTAAAATGTTGACAGAAGTTCTTCTACTCCATGCCAAAGATTGTCAATGCTACATACATATCTTATAAGATGTTTATAATACTACACCTGTGCTGCTAGCATTATATATATATATATATATGTGTGTGTGTTTGTGTGTGTGAGTGTGTGTGTGTGTGTGGGTGTGGGTGTGGGTGTGGGTGTGTGTGTGTGTGTGCG